TGTTAATTATCACAGTCATAACCACTGCGTGTCCAGAAAGAATTTAACATTGCCATGTTATGGTGAGAGAAAATAAAAATTAAATTTTAATTTACACACTGAGCTGAGCTTGGAGTTGGATTGAGATTCTCTCTCCTACTCCCTCTGCCCCTCCCCCCACCCCACTCATGCTCTCTCTCACTCTCAAAAGAAAAAGAAACATTTTTAAAAGTATTAATATTTACAATGCAGTAGAAATTACATCTGTTGCAACCCATTGAACTCATGATGGAAATTTTCGGGTGTCAATTAAAAATGTTAGGAGTACATAGTGGTTCAAAATTATTGGGGGTTGTGTGGGACAAAATCAGCTTGCACCACTGGTTCAGGGGCACTTTGCCAGTAGCTCCCTTATTTTTCCCTTTATTCCAGTACCTAGAACATAGGGAACTAAGTCACAGTAGATGGAGAGGAAGGATGAGCATCACTTATTGGCTGTGGATGGTTTGCAGAAACCATAGGGAACTAAGTCACAGTAGATGGAGAGGAAGGATGAGCATCACTTATTGGCTGTGGATGGTTTGCAGAAACCATAGGGAACTAAGTCACAGTAGATGGAGAGGAAGGATGAGCATCACTTATTGGCTGTGGATGGTTTGCAGAAACCATAGGCATCAATATGAGATGGGAGGAGTCCTTTCTGTGAGACATTTTCTCTGGTCCATATCAATGTGGTGGAAATGACCCTTGGGAAGTCTCCCTTGGTAATGACCAGCAAGTGAGCAAAATCATAGGATACATGATCTTTCATTTGCCTTTAATAAAATCACTCAAAAATGAATCTGTTACAGAAGTCCTTGGGAGATCCTTATATTTAGTGTTTAAAATTTTCTTTGATGACTTTGTAACAGAAAAATTCAATGAAACTAGTATTGAACAGAACACGATAGTGTTCACCTTGAGGAATTGAGAGCCTTAAGTTAGCATTTTCTTCCTTACGTCTGAGCTAGAGAAATTTCCTGAAGCTCTCATTTAAATCTAATGGCATTTGAACCATAGGATTATAAAATTTAGGTGGAGGACAATGAAATGGTTAGTATTCCTTATTCGGGTTCTATGGCTATTAATTTGGAAGAGAATTTGTATTAGGCTTCTTGCTAACGACAAATTAAGTGTGTTCTTCACATTTGCCAAAATCCTGCCATGGTAACTTTTTAGCTCCAAAAGGTTGTTCACGCCTTAAGAGAAGAGCAAACTTGCCAGCGAATTAATTAACTCAAAAATCATGAGCTACACTTTTAGGGCCAACAGAAGATAGCCGAAGGGATGTCGACATTGTTGTATTCCTTTACAATTCCTAGTCGGTCACCTGTCAGTTGTTCGAAGAATGTTTGCATCTTACATTCTGATTTGGGATTTCAGAGGATGATAGTATTCTGTGTCCAGAATGGATTTTAGAGCTCATCAGAACCCCCTTATTTTACAGAAAGAGGAAAGGCTGTTCCAAGAGAACTTGGACCTCAATGTAGGATTCCGGCTCTTAATCCAGCCTTAATCCAGCTGCCCCTGGATTTCAGGCTGGGGTCCCTGAAGCACTGGCTTCACGGAACCAGGGGCTAAGTGAGGGAGATGAGGGGCGCACAGAAGCATCTCGAGGGCCCCAATCTCATGACAGCCAAAGCAGCCCCAAGCTTTTATGTTTGGGGCTTCTGTTTATCGATAAAGAAAAAACAAGTCTCCTGCACCATCCATCATCTTATTCAGAAATTGTCAAAACATGTTACAGCTCACGGGGTTAATAGCAGGAACCAGCCCAGCGGAGGAAAGACATGAAGTCGGGGCAGGGTGAGCGAGGTGGGGGTATCTGATTCCAAGCAAAGATTCTCAGACTGACAGAGCTGACTGCAGACAGACGTGAAAACCTCACTGAGCCAGGTTGGAGCCTCCCAGGAATGTTCCTTCCCGTCTCCAAATCGGTGCCATCTTTGACAGCTACCCCAGAAGTGTGGCAGGAAGTCGCTCACACGAGTCTGAGCCCTTGCACGTGCTGCTCTCTCCTTGGCCTATCCCCCTGGGCTAGGTGCCCACATCACTGCTGTCGTTCTGTCCTCCCGTCCTCACCCACACGTCCCCACCACCCGCTGCATGGGGCATTGCTCCCGTTCCTTCTCCTCGAGCATTTATGCACCCGTCCTCCCGATGCCTGTAAGACCACCCTCTTGAGAGCAGGGCGCCCTTACCCGCTCCTGCCCAGCACCAGCTCCCTGGCCCCCCACACGGTGCATGTTGGGGGGCCCCTCACTGAACACCTGTCCAGTGGGTTCAAGGATGCAGTTACCCAGGCCCTGGAAGGCAATCCATGAGAAGTGGAGGGCTTGCCTGGGCAAGAGGGGAGCTCCGGTAACTGCAGTCTTTACTGTATATTGTGAAAACGGTTTCACACGTAAAGGCTCAATATAGACTTCTCACACATTGTCAATTTAGGTTTGCAGTTGGCTTAATTTAGAACAGTGACTTTCAACTTTTTTTTTCCTCAAAACTTCTGAAGGATATAAAGGAAGCCCAGACGAGCATTCTGGATCTCATAACTGGAGAGAAAGGGGGTGGGGTGGGCTTGGAGCCCCCCATCCACCAGGGATGAATTCTGAGTTTCCAGGGCTTGTATCAGGAGAACGTCCGAGCCACAGGCAGGGCCCGTTGAGAGGTCGGCTTCAGGGAGCAGACCCCGTGGGGTTACTTCACACTCGAGAGGTGACTGCTGCGGTGGGAAGAAGGGGGCCACAGCTGGATGGAGCCCCTATTTGGTACCTGCTGTGTGTTGACCCCTCCCTCTGACCAGCCAGACCCACTCGACCTGTGCAAAGACACCTAGAGTTGGCTTTGGCATATGGCACCGTCGGTCTCTGTGTATGTGTCTGTCCCCTCATAAACCATGTGTCCCCAAATTGCCGAGACTCTTGGACCGGAAATCTGTGTCCCAGGTCCGATCACAGGGCCCTTCCCATCTTGGCACACGCACCCCACCCCACCCCAGTGGTGGAGACACACCAGGGCCATTGCACCTTGGACGGGCATCACACTGAGCCCTCCCCACAGTCCTACGGTGGCCCATGAGCCCACCTCCCAGACAAAACTGAGACCAAGGGATCCAGACCCCTGCCTGGCCACCGTTCAGCTGCTCTGCTGGGATTCGAACGCAGGTCTCTGTGACCTGAAACCTTTGTGCTCATTCACCGTGTCCTATACCACATAGAAGAGAAAGTGTGAATTTAATTGACCTACTTGTTCAGCGACAGTGACAAAAGGGAAGGCAGGCAACAAGGGTCTGGCTTGGCCATCTGGGCTGCCGTTGATGGCTGGGCGGTGGAGCCCCACTGAGGGGGTCCCCGGACTGACACGGTGGGGTGGGGTCCCCGGCTGTATGGGCAGCGTGGCCGGTAGCCGCGTGAGGTGCGACAGCTCATCAGCAAACCCCCGGCAGCAAAGGTCTGGCTAGACTGGTCCGAAGGCAGCGTTTCTTCTCCACATCTACCCTCTCATTAAGAGCCTGGCCACAGAGGCCTGGAAGAACGCTGCAGGAAGGCGGGCATTGTGAAAAGCATTCACTGCATTCGGACACATCGCCTTGTGCGTTTCTGCTGGTTCTCTAAACAATTCCTCCTTTGTCTCCCGCTCTTTACTTTTGAGCTCGGTTGGGAAATGTCTGTTTTGTTTGGTTTAATTTTTGTTCTTTTGTTTCTTTTATTGTTCGGGATCTCAAATAAGCCAACCCCTGAAGGAATGGTCTCCTTGGCGCTCTTTTGGGCTCGTTAATTCTATGTTGCCAGCCTGCTGTCCAGATGAAGCCGTGGCTGAGGTTGAGGATGGGGATGCTGGCACTTGACTCTCGGGGCTTGATTATGTGCAGTGAGCACCAGGGACGCCGATGGCCGGTATTCATGTTAGGTATCCAGCAGCTATGTGTTGGAGGAATGGATACAAAAAAAAAAAAAAAATTAAAAATACTAAATAAATAAACAAAATACACTGAAACTCCAACACAACATAGTCCTTCCTTCCTGGCCCACCAGGGCTGAGATACTGAAGTTTAAAATCTGTTTCTACATTAAATTAAAAGAAGACAGGCCTGCTGCGCAGCCGGTCCAGAGTTGCGTACTCCTGTCCTTCTCCCGGGCATGGAGCGTTCCGTGACCTCAGAGAAACTGGAAGCTCACTCTGCTTACATGCTTAATGTATCTATCCCTGAAGGGCTTGCTTGGTAGGTGTGCCAAATGGCTACAGTGTTCCCCCATCATTCATATTTAAAGTATGATGGAACTCTGGCTCTGATCCGTGCAAATCTCTGCATCTCATTCTTTCAGCTGCGGTAAAGCTCACTTAAGAGCTCAGGGGGCCAGAGGACCTCCACCAAACACACTTTTGTTCTGGTTCTTTTTCATTTTTCTTGGAGGTGATCCTCCAAGATCACCTCTTCTTTGGACCAGATCTCCCTGTCTCGCATGTAAAAATGAAGGGGGGGAAATAAAATAAAAATGAAGGGGGAGCCAGATGCCGACAAAGTGTACCATTAATACTTTAGGTCAGATTTCAGATGTTCGTATCGAACATTTGTCAGAAGTTCCCGAACAGTATTAGCTATTTCTAAGTCTGTTTATATTTGGAAATGATTATTTTTTTTAAAGAACTCATTTTAAAACAACTTCAGTGAAACCAAGGCTCAGGCTGGAAAGAATTGCATTCACCAAGTCATTCGTATGAATTTTTAAATGTGCTTGCCCATAGTCAGATACAGGATAAAAATCCAAAAGGCTCATTTGTAATGTGATTTTTGAGGGAAAGTTTTGCTCTCGGTCACATATATGCCTACAGCTCCCTCCGAGTTAAAATATTTCTGGAGGGAGCCATTGCGTTGGAACGGGTCTTGCTTGATTCCTGGCGCCCTGAATTCCAGCTTCCAGGTGAGTCAGGCAGGTTGGTGTAGAAACGTGCTGGCTGACCTGTCCTTGCCGTGTCTTGTCCAGTGAGCCTGCCCCTGGGCCCCAGCAGTCCCTGCGGCACGGACAAGGTCCCGCCGGTGCCGTGTGAGGCCGAGGAGACCGTGTCTGTCAGCAGCTGTTTCGCATCAGAAGACACAACTGAAGACTCTGGAGTGGTGAGCTCCCCCTCAGACATCATCTCCCTGGATTCCCAACACGACAGCATGAAATCCAAAGATAAGTGGGCCACAGACCAGGAAGACGGCAGTGACCAGGACCTGGCTGGAACCCCAGAACTGGGTCCCCACAAGAGCCCCACCTGGGAGAGGAACGGCTCTGGGAACTGGCATCCAAGGTGAGTCAGGCGACAGCTGGAGAGGGAGGCCCCATCCTAGCCTTGGGAGGAAGGTCTTCTGTTCACGGTGACCCAACCGGCAGGTGCCCTCCAAAGTTGCCACTTCCCGATGTGGGGGTTCACTATCCACAACCATGTCTTCAGACTCTTTGTAGACATGTAGGTGTTTATAAGTAATACCTAAAGATTGGCTTGTTTGTTTTTTCTTTTATGTAAACGGTACCATATGCTCAGTGTCCTTTCTTACTCAACATCGTGTTTTTAAGATCGATCCATGATGATACGTGTCTTGTGAGTTCATTTATTCTTCTGCTTTTTAATTAATGGGCACTTAGGTCATTCTGGTTTTCCATACCACTGGGAACAATGAGGATGTTGGGCATATGTCTCTGTTTACACATAGAGAGCTTTCTAGAGGAGAAATTATGAGACATTCAGAAAAATTCATCCTCAACTATGGACTGTTGGCACATTGCTCTCCAAAATGAATGTCTGGTCTACAGGCCCTCCAGTGGTCTCTAACGGCCTGCCATCCACACCTGCACCAACACTTGCCATCAGAACACCTCTACTTTTCCACGCATACAGGTGTCCAATTGCATTTCACGTGCTTTTTAATTTAGTCTTCTGATTAGTAAGAATGAGCATCTTGTCCTGTGTGTATTAACACTTTGATTTTCTTCTTGCATGACTTGCCTTTCTAGAGACTGCCCTTTTAAAAATTTTTTTTTAATTTTTTATTTTGAGAGAGGGAAAAGAGAGAGAGCGTGCAAGAGTGGGGAGAGGGACAGAGGGACAGGCAGAGAGACAATCTTAAGCAGGCCCCACACCCAGCATGGAGTCTGACTCAGGGCTTGATCCTACGACCCTGAGATCATGACCTGCGCCGAAATCAAGAATCGGACGCTTAACAGAATGAGCCACCCAGGCACCCCCACAGACCTTAAAAAACAAACAAACAAGAACAACAACAAAAAACTGGATGTTACTTTTTTTTAAAAAATTCATTAATGTCTTCTTAATCTGTACATCAGTTCTTTACTACACACAGTCTTTAAGACTATGCCTTGAATGTAGCTTTGTTTTCTCTTGTTGCATAAAAATTGCTTTTTAATTTTAATATTCTTAAACGTGTCCCTTTTCTCCTGAATGTGTATGGTCTTTGCATATTTAAGAGACCCTTCTCCTACCCTGAAGGACTAAAGATTATCTGAATTTCTTATAAAAGTTTAGTGTTGCTTTCTCACATTTGGGCTTCTCAACTACCTGGGTTTATTTTCGGGTGTGATGTGAAGAAGGAAATCTATTTTTTCCCACTGACTCCTAGCTCCACTTTGGATTGTGTACATGCCCCTGGCGCTCTGTTCCATAGAACTGGCTTATCTGTCTGACATCGTCCCAGCACACTGCCGCTGTCCCTTTCTTCGTTCTTCTAAGAAGAAGGTTAATTCTCTGCGGCCCATCAGTTTTTTTCTTCACCCTTTAAATAATTTTAAGAACTAGTCACACACACAGTGTTAATGAAATAGTAACAAAAAGTAGAATGATCCCAACAATTTCGCGAGTCTTTCACCAAAACCAATGAATGCCTTTGTGTTTTTCGTGTTTTGTTCCTACTTTGTCCATATGAACACACAAATCTTTACCTGGTTAAGTAATTGTAGTGTCAGTAATAATTTATTTTGATTTATTTTTACCTAAGGATTTATCATGAGCATTTGCCCATTTGTTAATTACACTCTAATAAATTTAACGTATAGCTCGTCAATCTTACGGGCCATTTCAAGACCAAGTTTATATTTTCATTTGACAGGAAATTAAAAAGTAGCAGTTGCTCC